GAGTTTTATACATATAGGTATATATATTACAGTTAGTATGACAAAATATAAATATTCTCTCATTTTTACATTGAAATTTGAAATGAAAATTTTATATATACATATAGTATAAATATAGTATAAAAAATAAATATTTAAACAAAATTTACTTAGAACATTAAACATTTTGTGTAAATATATTTCAATTTCTGTATATATAATATGCATGTATGTATGTACGATTCCAAATGCACATACATATATAAAATAAAATGTTTTCATTGTACATTGTATTTTAATATGGGAGAAATAAAACAGAGTATATGTATGTACGTTTGTATAGGCATTTCATTTCCTCTGACAACAGAAAATTATGCTTTTTCTAGCGTAAATCATTTTTAATTTGTGTCATTTATACTTGTTATACGTATATGTATTTACTTTAGAATAAAATATTTTAATACAAAAATGTTAACTATGTTATTATTATATTATAAATTATACACACATATACATATTTTTATGTGTATGTAATAATATAAAATATTTTAATTTTTTTGTTTATTTTATGTATTATAATTTCTTGTATACATACGTGAATGTCTGTATAATATGTGAATGTGCTAAAATCCTTCTTGTAATTTTCCTTGTTATTTTTACTTTTAATTCTAAAATATTTAAGGAAATTATAAAAGTAATCTATAATATACATACATATATAGTTATAAGCTTAAGAATAATATTAAAAATTGAGATTTAACTTATAATGTCAGTAAGCGCAATTCATTTTATGAATATTCTACGTTAATGTATGGAAAGAAAATGTAGTATGACAATTTTATAAATTACTTGGAAAATTAAAAAAAAAATTTATAATTTTTTTTGAAAAATGAGTAATATATGGCAAATTTTTAATGAATTTTAAATTTCAGAAAAATATGTGTAAAATATGCAAAAAACTGCTGTCTAAAATTTGAGTTTCTAGCTGCATAAATACCAAAAGTGAGCAGCATTTCGAAACTTTAGACTTTAAAAATTCCATAGTTAAACAAAAAAAAAAAATAAGCAGCATAGGCAATGACAAATGACGTCTATTAAATTTTAAAGTTCTAACTTATGACTGTGGGTATTCTTTCACTCAAAATTTGTATATGATTCATTTATATCTATAAACATTGAAATCCGAAAACTTTCAAAAATGTCGAATCACTATTTAATAAACTTAATCCTAAATAAGAAGAAAATCCATTTTGAGTTCAATTTTAAGGTCGTGTTCATATTTTACGTATAACGTTCCAGGAGAAAAGAAAATGCCTTACTTTTCGGGCTAAAAATTTAATTCGATTGCATTTAGAAGCTGCTCTATTGTTATCTATTGTAACCACGCCACGCTTCCGCCCATAATATCACTATTCCATGTATAAAACTAGAGATATCCCTAAGATTCAAAGAATAAATACACAATAGTTCAGAAAACTCTAACCAATACCCCCACAGCGGAAAAAGGCACAGACCGGCAGCGGCCGCACAAATTCAGCTCCAGATGGGTTGTCAGCTCATCGACAACCTCGTTGCCCGAGAGGACTGTGTTACACAATAAAATTGTAAACAAGATTCATTTATATAACAATATTTGCTACAAAACTCTGAATTTAACAACAAAATCTATGTATACAATACCACTATAAACAGAACTAATTATTTAAATGCAAATATAAAATTTTGTTTTAATATTTAACCGTTTTGCTCCTCCAAAATCATGTATGTATGAAAAATTGATTAAATTTTAACAAGGTCTTTTCTTTCAATTACATATTATGATTTTATTAAATAATAAAAACGTTCCACGTATACCAAAATAATGAATACGAAAACAGTATGAAAAGTTTTTCAATTATTTTGAATATTAAAATCAAAAATGAAAAATACAAAAATTTTCATATATTTTCCAAAATTTAATTTAAAGATTTAACCATAAAAAATAAAAAAAGGAAAACAAACAAAAAATATTTTTCCTTTTTTTTTGTTTGCCAATTTTTCTTCAATTTAAAGATGAGCACACGAAAAAGGAATAGCTCACTGTATAAACCAATAAAATAAGGATCGTAAAACAGAAAAATATCACGACATGAAATTAATTAACTAATTTATATTTTTTCGTTTAAATATGCTTTAATAAAAAACGAGAAAAACGTTGAAAAAAGAAAACTGTTATATTTTAGAGTCCATTTTTATTATTAAAATAAAAAAAAGAAAGAAAGAAAGTAAATATTTTGAAGGCGAAATCGCACAATATTAAAATTCAAGCACACATTCACTTACACCCACAAATAAGAGCCTTTCTTCGTATACCTACGTCAGTATTTTTTTGTCCATTTTCAAAATGAATTTTGTAATTTTATCAGTTTTTATTTTTTTTTTAACATTTTTAATTTCATCTTTGTCTTTCCTTTTCCTTTTTTATATCGTATCTCTTTTATTTTTTTCGCTCTTTCAAATTCAATATTATATTCAAGGATATTTTACAGGAATTCAAGAAAAAAGGATCTACTTAATTAAAAAATGAATATTACTTTTTGGACCTTTTTTTTTATAATTCGCGTTTTTTTTCTCTTTCGTATTATTGATGTTTTCCATTTAAATCAATACACAGAACCAATGGTATATTCTAGGTATAGTCATTTGCAATAAATTGTGAATATTTGGCCGTCTGTAGAGTATATTTGGTGTGTCGAGATTTGTTCATTTTGTGTTTTTTGAATTCATAATGAGTTTAAATTTTGGTTAGACTAAAATAATGAATAAAAAATAATTAAAAAAATGATTAAAATCGTTCCTAAATGCAGGTGTTTAAAATCATCCAGAGACAAAGATAGAAGGATTCGAATTGTCATCAAGCTACTAATAGTGAAGACTTTAACCTATGCTAAAACGCTCCTAGGTGGTTATAAATTCTTAAAACTATTCAAACTGCCAAACCATTAGTTTTTTTCTACCTTGTTTTTGTGCATATATATAGAATAAAATATGTGGAAGGCACGGAAATAAAATGTTCACACCTTAGGGTATATTGAGAGGACTCGTTCATTTCAGTTTTCTTGTTCGAACCGTATCGCCTACGCAAGGGGGCTCAATATTTCAAAGTCGATTACAGGATATTTCCAACTTATAGTTATATAAGATTATGTGATTCAAGGTATTGGTTTTAAAAAAAAATTTTATTGTTTGCCTCAGGACTCTTGCTGTAATAAAATTGTTATACTATCTCATTATAAAATAGTTTCCCAACTAAAACAATTGATATGACTTTGAGAATTTTTTTGAAAACATAAAAATCGAAATATTATTTTTGGCTCTTTCTTTAACGATAAATTTTCTAGTAACTAGAAAAAAAATGTTTATATTTTGATTATTTGTAGCACTACATTAAAATGAAAAAAATAAAAAAAACATGAAAATATTTAAAGCGTGTAAAATATTAACTGATTTATTTTTGTTTTGTTTGACAGGAATTTCGGAACGCTTGTGTTTTTCTTTTAATAATAATTTTATGGATTGTTTTTTTTTTCTTTTTATTTTCTTGGTATACACAAAGGCAAAATGGAAAATTTAAGGTTAAGTTATTGTAAGATAACATTTTTGTTTTATATTTTTTTCTGTGTAAATTATTATTAGCCTTAAGGTAGGGCAAAAACAAGAAACAAAACAAAGCAACCCTAAAAAACATGAAAAACTGGAAAAGGGAAAATTGGAATGGGCAAAAGGTGAAAGGAAAAGAGCTTAGAAAGGACGACAAATATTCTTTCCGTTCATAGAATATTTTAATAAAACGTAAAACAGTTTATGAAATGAGACAGAGGAAATAAAGAAAAAATTTTAAATCATTGGACTTTTTAGAGAAATTTATATTTTATTTGTGTATAACAACAAAAAAATATTTAGAATGGGGTAGGGCTTTTATGTTTTTCTTTTGTTTTATTTCCAACTCATACAAAAATAAGGGGGTGACTGAACAGAAAACAAAACACAAAAAGGTTAAGTTGAAAGTAAAGGAAAATTATAATTTTTTTTTCTTAACTACGATCATTATTTTTACGGTATACATGCCTACATACTTGTGTATTTATAATTTAATATTTAATGTTTTTATATTTTAAAGACATAATTTGTTTTCCTGCTTAATATTCCAACGACCATTTAAAATTGATTTCTTGAATTTTTTCGCAGGCGAGGTCTAAAGTTGGTTTTTTTTTTTCAAATACCAATTAACCTGAATTAAAAATTTTTTTTTTAAGAAATTCAATGGAATAATTTAATAACGTTAAAGCAACAGGTGTATTCTTTTATAATAATTGAATGAAATTTCAAAAATATTTCAAATATTTATTGTAAAATTGGAATATAATTTATGAAATTATTAAAACCCCATATAAGCAATATAACTTGGAGAAATTTTTGTCTGAATTAGAAAACTGACTAACCCAACATGAGAGCTCAATTCATTTGACGCGGCGAATTCATTAGATCAGTTGCCCTTCCCAACTAAATAATTCCCAAACATACATTCTGAACAAGACTTGAAAATGCATTTAATATTATAGTCAATAATAAAAACAATACAAAAAGTATTGGCAAAGTGATGACACTGTTACAACACTTAATTTAACAACATTGTTAATATAACAAACAGCAGCACTGTTAATTTTTATCTTGTAAAATTACACTCATCTCTCTTTGAAATTAAAATTATTTTCTACGAAATCGTTATCATATTCTTAAAAGATCATTCGGTTCAAAACGAAATATCCTAAAAAATTATTTTGTACCTACAGGAACATGTATGAACATGTTTAGGTAGCCTGGTAATTATTTATTTAGAGATAATAATTTCTTTATCATTATTTACAAAACCAAAAATTATTCTTAATATTTTCATAAAAGAAAAATAATTTTTATCTACATTTATCCCCCTGATGTTCAATACTGTGACTAATATTATTTAATAATTTTATTCTTTTCAGATAAGTTACGGTCTTTGATCATTCATTTTTACGATATGTTACGATAAGGTGAGTACAATTTCATATGTTGATTACAAAAACTTAAACAAATTTTTTATTTTACAAAATTTTATTTACACTCAAGATTTTTTTATTATATTAACTATAATAATTGTTATACATTTAAGTTAAATTATATTTTTTTTATAAATTATAATAATTAATTTTTTTGTACTTTAAAATTTTTGCACTTTATTTTGTCATTTAATTTGATTAAAATTGAATTTTAAATATTTTTATTTATTTTAAAAATTTTAAAAACATTATTTAAATCTGCTATTGAACTTTAAAAAAGAAATATGGAAAAAATTGAAATTTTTAACACTTTTTAATTAGCTCACGGAATAGGTTCAACCATGCTTTGTAACATTTGGGTATAAGCATGTTGCATTACATTATTATTTTGTCCACTAGGTGGCTGTGACAATATTCCATTTTGTCCAATTGATGAAGTAGATGATGACATACCTAAATGTGGATGACCTTGATGTGAAGTTGGTGGTATCATACCATAATGATTCAATATATTTGATGAGGCTGATGGTGGAGGCGGTGGTCCCATACTTATTCCAGAACATAATTGTGGATGAAATGTATTATGTGGATAATCATTATGAGAATTTTCTAATTTCGGTTTAATATCTAAGAAATGAGCTAAATCATCTGCAACTGTATTAGTATTCATACCATTAACTAAATTCGATCCTGTTATTGCTGATGGAGATGATGATGATGAATTTCCAGTAATTATTTCTGGATCGTCACTTTTTTTAGTTTGTTTACGTTCTTTGGCTCGTCGATTTTGAAACCAAATTTTAACTTGTCTTTCAGATAATTGTAAACATTGTGCTAATTCAGTTTTTCTTCTAATTGTTATATAACGTGATGTATGATATTCTTTTTCTAATTCAAGTCTCTGATAATCAGTATAAACAACACGATATTTATCTTTTGTTCGAGTTTTCCCTGGATTCGGTTGTTGACCATATGATGCAGGTTTTTTCATCCAATCATAATATTCTCCAACATTTGATTGTTGTAATTGATTTTTTAATTTACTTGCAAGTATAACAGAGTCACCATCACCATTAATACTATCATCATCTATAATATCATCATTATCGCGATTGTTATTATCATTATTACTTTTATTATTATTGTTGTTGTTGTTGTTTTTGCTATTATTATTATTTCGTGCATTATTTGTGACAAGATTTGTTGGTGTTGATGTTGCTATTGGTGTATTTCTGTTATTTATTATTCCATGTGGTGATGATGATGAATTTGGTACACCTGGACTATTTATACCACTCCCACCTGAACCCGTTGTATTTGGTGGGGATGGTATACCATCTGTTAAAATATCAGCACTACTTGATGTTTCATCTAATGGTGAACCAATACTATTAATAGAGGGCGTACCAATTCCAAAATGTGCTGATGAATAAAAATGATGTCCATTACTTTGTAATCCATTCATATGAGAATGGAGTGGATGATGATGATGATGATGATGTGGATAATGAAATGCACTTGATGATGATGATGATGTTGCAGAAGATGTTGATGATGGTGGTGGTGGTGGTAATTGTGTTTGTAAATGATGTGTTGATGTTCCACTACCTGTTGCAGAAAAATTTTGATAATTTTCTCTAGCTCCATATAAATCATGTGGTGGTGGTGGTGCTGCTGAATGTGGTGGTCCTTGATGAAACATATGTGAATTATAATACATAGCCGCATGATTTAAATGTGTTGCATGATCAGGTGGGCCGGTCATTCCATTTAAAAATTGTTGATTTGCTGCTGAATGTGGATGATAATTGGTAGGAAACCATGCTTGATGCGGTGTTGTTGGATATGATAAATTTGTTGTATGATGTTTTTGTGGATATGACAGTGAGTTGTAATAGGAAACCATTTTGATTTTAATTTGTTTTTTTTTTCGTTTTATTTTAAGACACTTAACACCAGTATGTTAATTTTTTTTTTTTTTGTTTTTTTTTCTTTTAGAAATTTATGGATTTTTGTTAAATTTTTATTTCTCTTCAATATAAAATTTTCGATTTGTTAAATTTTTTTTTTCTATTTTTCATTTTTTCACTGTTTTTATGCTCATTTTTTTCTTTGTTTTTTTTTTTATAAATTTATAGCACTAAATCTGATCGCGGTAAACAAAATTACTATGTTAAGCGTTTAACAACTCGGAACGTAATGAGAAAATTTTATATTTTAGTTTAAGATGTAACCTATCATAAATCCATAAAATTTTAAAACTTCGCTTAAAAATCCAGAGCTAAAAGAGGAAAATAGTTTCATGTCTTTTTGTAGTCTTGCATGTATAATTGTAGGTAGTTCATATTGTATACCTTATTAGTTAAGCATTTAAAGGTATAAATGACACTTAAGTGTGTAGGTATGTACAAAAATATATTTTAAAAGAAAATTGTTATTTATTGTCTTTCAGTTTGAAAACGAGTTTACAAAGTAGAGTAGGGATGAATTTAAGTTAGGTAACAAAATGATAAAAAGAAAAACATAAATTTGAAATTGACGGCAAAACAAAATTTTTTTGTTATTTATTTGAGAAAATTTTGTAAAAATATTTTTAATAATTTTATTAAAATTTATAGGTACCTTAAATTAATTATTACAGAATAATTTAATTAAGTTGAAATAGTTATTTCAATAAAATTTAATTTTATTAATTTGATTAATTTTAATTATTAAGAAGAGAGTAAGGTTGCCCTCATACATAAGTACAACTTTCAATGAACTTTTTATAAAATTATTTAATAAACTCTTTACCTATATATTCAAAATTATTGCACAAATATAATGGTATGAGTTTCATAGTGTACTGCGCGAATGGTTGCAGTGACCCTGAGGATACTACTTCCCCACTCGGTTCCCTTAAAAATCTACGAATCTACGAAAGTCTTTCAAGCATAAACTAATTTTTGAGTGTAAACTAAGTTAAATGGGTAATGATTCTGCGAATACATTAAAAATTTTTGTTACGATAAATTTTCAAGTTTTCTTCTTGGTACGCAACACAGAGTCGCCTTAAATGCTTTCATTAAATGTTGAAGGTTAAATAAATTGTTCTGGGTTTTTTCGTTATTTAATTTTCAATTTTTTTCTAGACCCTTTTTCAGCAAAAATGACCGTTACTTTTTTTTAAAAAAAAAAAAATTCCAATAATTTTTTTAAGTATTTCATTTTAAAGGTAGAAAAATGCGAATTTTTCTGCAATATTTTTAATGTACCCGCTAAAAGCTTCGCTGAACATATTTAGGATATTAAAGAATTTACATGCGCGATTACATATATCCATTGTCAAAACACTTTAGAAGAGAAGACTAACAAAATTACCAAAAAAAAAAAAAAAAAAATGTCAAAAATTAAAATATTTTTTAACTAAAAATCCTTCCGCCTATCCTTAAAAATTTTTATGGTTTACATAAATTTGACGGTGTATTATTATTGTTATTATTATGACTGAAAATTGCGCCGAATTCTTATAAAAAACGCGGCAGATTTCAAAGAAAATATTTATTTATTTTTATTTTTTGTTTTATTTGGAAATTTCTAAATTTTCCAGTTTTTTCATGAAGAATTCTTAAATATTATGCGAAACTAAGGTAATGTTTTTTTTTGTATTATATTGAGAATTTTATTGTTTTATTACTCAAGTGTTAAAATTTTTTTGAATGTAAAAATATTTCGTGAGCTTGTTAAAATCGAATCGAACATACAACTACAACGTTTTTCAGCTCTTTTACTCTTTGTCTTTATTTTTTTCCATAATTTTGAAACTCAAAATAAATCACATATTTCTATATTCTATATTTCTAATATAATTGTGTTATACCAATTATTCTCAAATCGTTCCTACACAATTTAAGTAAAAAATTGCCCTATAGAATTAAAATAAAATGCTAATGAAAAAATGTTTGTATATTGTGTTAATTAAATAATTTAAAGAGAATGTAAGTAACGTTCAGCACTACCTTTTTACCAAGTTAAATTTTATACTTATATAACACTGTTATATATAGAAAACTAAGTGTTATATTTAATTAATTTATACATTAATTTATTTGACAAATATTCACGTTCTTATTTTATGACTTCTTTGTCATAAATACGCATAATATTAAAAAATCGGACAATATAATTAGAATATTGTTTTAAATTTCAGGTTTTTTTAAAACTTTTTAAACTTATTTACTAAAACAATATACGTGTAATAGTCTATTAATGAAATAAATAAACAAATATTTCTCTTTTTTAACACGAGACGTATTGTTTAATTATATTCTAAAAATCTAAACAAATATATTATTTATTTAAAGCTCAATTTATTTTTATTCTATGGTATTTTCAAATTAACACCAAAAAAAGTATGTATAACAATTTTAAAATAGAAAAAAAAACTGGAATATGAACTCAAATTTCCCAATTACGGGTTATAGCCCTTAATTCTATTTATACTTTTCCCTATAATTGACTCTGAATTCGGTTAAAATATTACAATACCAAACATTTAGTATTTTCGTATAACATTTACTAATAAAGTAATAAAATAAAAATATAATCTTCTTATATTTTTTAATCTAAATATAGTAGTAAAATATCATATAATAGTAGTGACTTATTATTATTATTATTGTTATCATTATACTCTTTGAAATATTTGTAAAAGTTGAATTTTGATAACAGTTTTGAATGTTTGGTAAATAAATAAATCAATGGGGTGCCGAAAATTATACATGAATGGTATAAAAAATATTTATAAACAATACCAGTAAGAAGTTAAAAAGATGTTTGCTGTTCCGCACATGCATTTCAATTTGTGAATATCTTTCAATTTTTATACAATCTTTTAAAAAACTTTTTGTTTCACTAGAAAAGCAATTAATACGGTTAAGCAACAGGATTCAAAGTTCCCATATCATTTTCTCATTTATGTTGTATATTTAGAAAATTCTGTATTAAAATATTAAATTCAAACATTTACCATATTTTAGTTCTCTTCGAACATTACAGAGCATATCTAAATCGAACATTTTTATCTGATTTGTTTTGTATTAAGTAGTGTAACATTGTTTTTGTACAAATCCCATGTGTATACCTACATATATGGATGTACATAGGTACATGCAATATGCATTCATATTTTTAAGGTAGTTACAATCAAATCATTCATGTTATAATTGAAATTTTATTTAAAATTTTTTTTTTTGTTTCAAATAAATGGAAACTAAGAGAAAAATTTAAAAAAAAATTTTTCAAGAATTGTAGATGTCCTATTTTGCGTCTAATTATTTTATTTTGAACATAAATGCAGTAGGTATGTACAAATACACATATTATATTATTATTTACCTACCTGAAAATTTTTGAAATGCAATATTATATTGAGTATATTTTGTATGTCACCTTGTTAAAGAAATAAAACAACAAAATGTATGTTAGGTACCCATTCATTATGAAAACTGTAGTTTTAGGTAACAAAACAATTATTTACACTATTTATGCATAAATATTATTATCATAATACTGTGAATATGACAAAATGTTATACTATATATCTATTTATATATTATGATCCCAAATTACATACAATACAAACATATATATATAAGTAAAATTTATATTTTTATATGGAAGGGTATTGGAAGTATACTGGTAGGTATCTACAATTAAAATTTTCTGTTAAAACATGTTGTTCACGTTATCATTATAATAAAATTCTTAAAAAATTTTAAATAACATTTGGTAGATTTAGTTCAGTTTTTAGGTATAACTATTTATTTTTACATAAATTATTTATTGCCTTCCATTTTATAATACTCTTATACTAAATTAATTAACTTTAAGAGAAATAATTAACAAAAAATTTTTACATTCATAATTATTTTACATTTTTTACATTGATTAATATCAAAAATTGTTTTCTTGAATGAATTTTTTTATAAAATACTAAAAATTTAACAATAATTAACAAATTAATTTTGTGAATATACTAGTATACGAGTGCATACCATATTCTAATAAAAACATAAAAATATCCTGTTGTTTTATGTACTTAAATATTATGTGTATACCAAGTACATGAAAATTGTAATTTATTATTATATTTTTATTACTTTAAATTTGTACAAAATATTAAAGTATAACTACCAGTTGATGATTTTGAGGTTTTAATTGTTTATTTTATTTCAACATTTACAATACCTAAGCATATATCAATTATGATAATAATTATACACAATAATAATGTACTATATTATGTATAACACAAATATGAATGTTCCAGCTGATTATTATATAAAAATTTTTAATAAAAATATTTAGTGTTCATTCATTTTTTAATTAATTAAAAATTAATAAGAATTTGTTATAATAATTTCAAATTTGTATAAAAGATATACTTATGTCTATACATAAATATAATTATATTCTTAATTATTATACAATATAGTATAACAATTTGATATCTTAATAAAATAATAAAATATATTATTATATTATTATTATTATGACGCACATATTATATTATTTTATTATTTATTGTCATTATTATTGTGTGTAATGATTTGTGTATCTAAACAAAATATTATAATAAATTATTTTTACTATATATATATAAATTTATTTACAATAAAATTACTTAATTTTATATTGATAATAATAATAATCATAAAATGTTATACATATAAATGTACGAGTATAATAGTTGGTGTCATAAAAATTATAAGATGAAATTTTATATACGTATAGGTAGTATTGTCTATACTTATACTTATATCTCCATGTTAATTAAATTAATTTATTTAAAATAATATATACAATGTTATTTAATATAATAATAATAATAAATATGTATATATAGTGTTGTTATTATAGTATAACACAAATATTTGATAAACTGTAATACACAAAATAATTATTATTATGAATTTTGCAATTTTAATA